CTATGTGCTTGGCAAAATGTCATTCGTGACTGTTGGCGTAAGGAGATAGCTCTCGTGTGCGGGCGATTTACGAACGACTTTTGTCATTCGTGCCACTTACGCCAAATATCTAACATGTTTGATAATTTCTGCCTCGCGTGCCAAAATCTTTCCGTGTGCGGCGAAGGAAAGCTATCTGCTTACGGATTGTCGTAACAGCGCATGCGTAGTATACGAAAGTAAACATCCAAGATGGCGGCGCAAAATGAATTGCTGGCCGAGGCAATTTTAGAGGACAAACTTGCTGGCTATTTCTTTCACCGCACATTCCCTTTTGTCCCTATTTCTAAAATATGCAGAACTCACAACGTATAAACATTTGTATTCAGGCCAAAGTTCGACAAGTTTGTCCTCTAAAATTGCCTCGGCCAGCAATTCATTTGGCGTCGTCATCTTGAATGTTTACTTTCGTATACTACGCATGCGCTGTTACGACAATCCGTAAGCAGATAGCTTTCGTTCGCCGCACACGGAAAGATTGTGGCACGCGAGGCAGAAATTATCAAACATGTTAGATATTTGGCGTAAGTGGCACGAGTGACAAAAGTCGTTCGTAAATCGCCCGCACACGAGAGCTATCTCCTTACGCCAACAGTCACGAATGACATTTTGCTAAGCACATAGCTCTAGTGTGCGCCGGCCTTAAGCTTCGCGCTCAGCTGTAATTAAGGATGATTATCCCCCTCCCATCCACACTTGTTTGCTATATCGGTTTAAATCTGAATTGTTCTTTCTTTTAGATTGCCTGACAACGTGTTATTTGTTTTTACAATTCTGCTTTGTGTCTACCTAGCAGCGCGGAAGTTCAAGCAAGTCAATCCAACATCAGACTACTCCCTCAGCCAGATAATTTTCTGTCTTTCTTTTACATTCCTAGCATGTGCCGTTATCGCTTACCTTTACACCTATTTCATTGTCGAATATTTTAAAAAAACACAAAACAAGATAAAGAAAGCCATGATTGCCGCCCTTACACCAGGAATAGTATTGCTACCTACTGCTGTTGCAAAATACCTTGTACTGCGAAGAAGCTCAGAGTTGATTCCGGCAGATAAAGCTTTTGTGATGTGCTATTTCTTACGCGGTGGAGCAATTGGACTTTACCGTACAATGCAGTCGGATTTTCAAAATATTTGGCTATTTATTGGCTTGTCTTTGCTACATGGCGTTTCAAATGTTTTGAGTAAAACAACACTAAACCTTCGTATCAAAATGTGGAAAAGTTTCATTGGTTGTGCCAACAAGACTCGTTGTGGGGCAACCCTAGCGGTGTTACCCTCTGATACTCCACGTATTCGTCGTTTTAACGCTGACATTGAAATCCAAAATATTTTGTTCGAATACACTACGGTTATCTTCAGTCAAGCATATTTGGTTCTTTACATCATCGCTAATTTTAATGTCGTTCATCCATGGGAAATTATCAAAGGTTCTTTGGTCAGAATTTGCATAAGTACAGTTATAGATTTCGTCTTCAACATTTTTTCAGTGTTTATTCAAGTTCATTTCTATGATATTCCTATGCGTAGGGTGTGGTTAAAATATTGGCGACGTCACATGATTGCGAATGCTCTCATCATCATTTGCACGGTATCATATTTTGGTGCGTCGCTGGTCAGTGTGTTTGCGGCGCGCGAGGACAGGTTACTGGAATACAAATTAAGAAACTGTACAGTACCTATTTGAAAAACATATGTGACTACAAATGAACGCATCTTGTATAGCTTCAAAAAATGAGTGATTGCATGTCATCGAGCTGAGAGCAATGATACGATAAAAGACAATGGAACACTCTGATCACAGGATGGTACTTCGGGCGCTTTCCATTTAATGGCCAAATCAGCCCCAAATTTTTGTCTCTGTATCAATGGAATGATCTGGTCTATGTTTCTCAAATATTTAGCGAAAATGCATTCTAATTTTATCTAAATTTTCCGGTCAGATCAGTCCGAAGCCCAAACGTTTTGTGTTTCATTCAACAACTTGACTGTTCATCTACAGTGTGTATCAAAATAATTCGAATCCAAATTTGGCGTGTAATAACGCAGAATATATTTGACAAATTCGGTTGGTTTTTACACCATTGTTAAGTTCATTTATTTATCTTTCAAATGACATGCTGTACGCGTCATTTAGTTGGAAAATGAAGGAGTATTGCTTTGACAAAAAAAGTCCATAAAAATCACAATTTTTCGCCGATGGGAATTGGACATTTTTTCTTTCAAAGTTAGTCCCACAAGGCTTTGAAATGCTAATCATCACTGAAAACTAAAATGTAAATTTAACGCGAATTTGTTCTCGTTCAACATGTTGAAAGCATAGGAGCTTAAATCTCTTTAAATGAACATGAATTTATGTAAATTTTGCTACATAACAGTTTGTTGATTAATTAAATTTGCATTATCTTTTGTTTGTACGTCTCACTTCGAATTCCCATCGGCGGAAAAATTTGATTTCTAGCAACCAGTTTTAACACACGATTTCTTGGTCATTTTTTATCTTATTGATATAAGAACGATATAATCGGAAACCTAGTAGGCTATTCTTTATTGCCATATAAAAATTATATGGTTTACTTTAGTATTTTATAAACAGCAGTCTGTCAAATTTGGATTCGAATTATTTTGATACACACTGTATATAACTGGGTGGAAGGCCCCTTCCCCAGACCCCATGGTGGCCCCTAATTCAACCGTTTTGAAACACCCCCCTCCCCTTAGTCAAGATGCTTTTCCTTTAAATATAAGCAAACATTGGAATAAAAATGGCATTTAGAAGAGAGGTTTGATATTCTAGTAACTAAATCTTGCTTTGTGAATCTTATGCCATGTCTTTTGTCTTCAAATAGTTTAATTTTAATGTCTTCCTAAAAACGTCAAATAATTTAAATTAAACATTGTGTTGTAAATACCTCTGATTTTAAAAATTTCTCAGTGGATAGCATATCGCAGACCCTATAGATTTGAGTTGTTGGATGGCTTGGCTAAGCAAGTTAGGTATTTACATAAACATATCATGCGAGTACTTAATTAAACTGAAGATTCCGTCAATATGCAGTTACGTAACATACTGCAACACTGTATTAAATAATGTAACACTGTGTATCCAAAAATCTGTTTCAGAAAACGCACAAAATGCAGTTCCAAGGGTGGAAAATACGAAACGTTTATGGGGGAGAACTCCCCAAGACCCCCTTGTATTACATACGACAGCAGACCAGCTATTTGTCACCAACCACCATCTGTCATCTCTCCACACTCAGTATGGTATGGTCTCTTTCTTTAGATAACCATCTCCCTCCCCAACGACACATTCTTAAAAAAGGCGTGCTACAATGGTTTGGTGTGCTACAATGTCTGAGTTGGATAAACACCATTGAATTGGGAGGGAGTGGAAGATAAAATGTTTGTAGTATTTTGCGTATATTCACTGATGATCTAAAACTGTTTATGTCCCAATACTTTTGAAAATGAGTAACACGGAAATCTCTTTACTTTTATCAATTTTAATTTAAATCAAATTTTAACACGAACAAAATTTTGGGAATTGAAGATATTTGCATTTTCACCTCTGAATATTTACCGAATTGATTTCTGTTCGGTAAAGGCGTCATATTGCGACAAAAACCCGAATTCAGTCTACGTTCACATGGGCCTGATTGAATTCGAAACCGTACTCAAATTCGTCCTGTTCTACAAGTGCATGTTCTGCGCCTGGTTTTCAAGCAAAGTCGATGAAATGATTACATAAAAAAAACACTCAGGGTCAAAAATACTTGAGATAAACTGGTCATATACACATGTTGGGGCCTTTGTCTCCCTCGCCCCTCCCCCCCCCCACCCCAACCCCAACAATGTTAATTTTAACATGCATTTCACAAAGCTTTAATCTGACCAATTGATAAGCTTTCAACATTGAACCGGGGGAGTGGAAAGTTAAAAATTGCCGTTTTTGCATATATGTATTGGGCAAGGCAGGTATTTCTATTTCCGCGCGCCCTGTCCACAATAATTTCTGGCAGGATTGTAGATAGGCTGGATATAAGTAGATATACTTCGCTTGCGTTTTGCTTGCTTTGAATTTTTCGGTGTCAATATTTGTCTCAGTACTTATACAGGGTGTATATAAAAAAAATAGGTACGCGACGCGTACATGTATCTGCGAAAAAACTTGATTCACATTTTGTATTCTCTTGAAATAAACTGAATAATGAAGATGACATGGGACAATTGAAATATTTCATCACTTATTATAATGGCAGATAAGATTTAAAACAGGGCTGTACACAGCGGGGAGTGCAGCAGGGCAAGTGCTACCCCACGCCCGCACCGAGAAAATTTAACCAACTTTATAATGTGATTATGATTGTAACAGATAATTATGCAGTCAGGAAATAAAAATTTCATGCAAACAATATTCAAAGTGTCTATACAGCCGGCTATTTAGTAAACTGTCACCTGTCAATTCAATCCATACTCATTAAATTTTCAAAACTTTATTGTAATCATATGAAGCAAAAGTTATGTCACTTGTTGTTTACACTTGCCAATGTCAACTGTTTGTTACACAAAATATTTGGTGAACATGTCAAAGACCACTGAATAATTGAGAATGTTTTGAAGGTCATGAGTGAGGTATATAATTAAATTCCAGTTCTGTGCACAGTTAATGATATACCACACTGTTCGGTTTAACACATACAACACATTCACACAAAAACAATTGTGTTGTGGAAAATTATCGGTTTGAGTAGAAGGTATCACAAGTTTAGTTTTGTACATTGTGTGCCATTGATCAAACCCACCATATAATATATGATTATTCATTGTAGCTGTTAAGTTATTTTCCACACTAATGAATTTAGGTAAGATTGTCTTGCAAGTCTGTTGTTCTGACAAAATTATCCAGCCAATATCCAGTACATTTATTCTTCATTCTTGTATTAATCTCTAAAGAAAAATATTTATGTTAGAAAGCAAAATGACAATGTAAAGCCTGGTTCACATATATGCCTGCGACATACCGGCGACGATGCCGGTGGTAGCTTAAAACGTGAATTATGTGAATATTTGTTCGCCGATTGCCTCCAGTGCCTCAGTTACATCGGCGGTAGGCCGGGAAAGTTGACTTGAGTTCAACTTTCCCGGTATTTCGGCGGGAAGTTGAGGCATAATGATACAGTCACAGGCATTCCGCAGGCATATGTGAACCAGGCTTAATGAGGCTCGGGAGGGTGAGGATTCTTTTATTTGAAAATGTTTGTAAAAATTTTGTTTATTAAAGTTAACTCTAATGTGTAAAACCAAAATGTATAAGTATTTAATTTAACTGATAACATCTTCAACCTTTGCTCTAACACTACATTTGATGACAGATTTATAGTTAGACTTTTAATTCAATATCTCCTGAGAATGTTATCACTGTTTAAAATATTACAGAAGTCACAGAAGGATTGCTTTTAATACTGTATAAATCTTTTTGTGAACTATGTTGACAAATGGCTTAAAATATCCTCGAAAATATCCAATATTTTAACAGTGTAATATATTAATAAAAAAATTCCAGAGTGCATTCCATGTAAACTCTACGCCGAAGATACGGCAATATTAACTGTAGATAGTATAGTAAATATTTGCCGAACTGGCGAACTCATGTATTATAAAACATGTGCGATATATATTTGCACAAATTTGGTATTTAAATATATAATATGTGGTATTTGACTACTTACCAGATGAGGATAAGATTCCATGTTGATAAATAACTTCGGAATAATATCGCAAGTAGAATGCCGATTCAAGATAAATTGATAAAAATATCAAGATATTTTTGAAAGAATATAAACACGATTTATACACGAGGCCTGACGAGGCTAAAGTATGCCCGTTTGCAGGTTAGATGCGGGCACGATGTAAACAATTGATGTAAACGAATCGCTGATTGGCTTAAATTGGCTTAAATTATATAAGCTCGTCGCTGAATGGCTATCTGCTAACATACGGTACGGTACGGTCACGGCACGTTTGCGATAGCATATATATCTGCTTCGCAGATACAAAAATAGGTACGCGACGCGTACATGTATCTGCGAAAAAACTTGATTCACATTTTCATCACTTATTATAATAAATATAATAGCAAATAAGATTTTAAAGTCAAACATAGTACAAATCTAACAAGGCTGTAGACAGCACCACAGAATAAGAAGGTACAGCAGAAGTGTAACACAAGCAAGTATTTGTCCGCGTTTTTACAAGTGATTCGTCATCAATCACACCATCCTGGCTAGTACAACCGGCACTTGGCATCTACCAAAACCTGATAAAAACTTCCGGTTGTACTAGCCAGGATGGTGTGAACGAGTTAAAATTTTCGTGAACGTAAAACAATAAGGGAACCGACTCGAGTTACACTTCTGCTGTACCTTCTTATATTCTGTGACAGCACGGAGGGCAGCAGGGGCAACTCACCCCCCCTCCCTCCTGCGGAGAAAATTTAACTAATTTTATGTGATTGCGATTGGGTCATTCCAGAAAACATCCATACCACCCCCACAGAGGAAATAGGAAGTTAACCCCCCTACTCCCTTCTCATGTCCTAATACATTTACTATTATCATAAACAATTTTTTCTCCCCTCCGGACGGCAGAAATTTCCTCTGTGGGGGGAGTACAGGTTTTTTCTGGAACGACCCATTGTAACTCGGATAATTATGCGGTCAAAAAATAAAAATCTCATGCAAACAATATTCGAAGTGTCTATTTAGTAAACTGTCACTTGTGAATCCATACCCCTTTTCAAAACTTTATTGTAATCATATGAAGCAGAAGTTCTGTCACTTGTTGTTTACACTTGCCAACATTAACTGTTGAGTAACATACATAAACTATTCGAGGAACATGCATCACTGTAGCAAAAAGTCAATCATATATCAAAGACCACTGAATAGTACACTGTAAATTTCAGGGAGTTAATTTAATTCCAGTGGTATTATTCTGAACCTAATTTTACTCCACATTTGGAGTTAATTGAGGTTCAGTATAACTCCACTGGAGTTAACTTAACTCCCTGAAATTAACAGTGTAGAGAATGTTTTGAAGGTCATGAGTGAAGTATATATAATTCAATGCCAATCCTGTGCACAGTTAATGATATACCACACTGTTCGGTTTAACACAGCATATCCACACAAAAACAATTTGTGTTGTGGTAGAATATCAGTTTGAGTAGAAGGTATCACAAGTTTAGTTTTGTACATATTGTGTGCCATTGATCTGATTCATCCATATAATATATGATTATTGTAGTAGGCCATGGGCTGTTGGCCAAAATTATTTCGCTTCGTGGCACCCATGTGGGAAATACTTGGTTTGGGGTTTATTTGAAAGGCATATAGGTACATCACTACCAAAAAAAAGTTCCCAAGCAAAAAGTTGCCCAATAGCGAGAAAATGGGTGATCAATGATTATCCTCTATTAAATTGTATTACAGCAAAAATTGGGAAATTTTATAATTCAATTACAATAAAAATGACTTCCATCATCGGAAAACGTACAAAAAACTGCATATATATAAGACTTTTAAACAGTTTTTTGATTTTTCAAATAGTCTTTGAGTTATTGCTGTTTTAAATGTGAAAATTGGACCAAAATGTCGCAATAAGGACTGGGTACTAGGTCAAAAACGCGTTTTTGACAGCGTATAACTCGAAAACAATTTTAGATATAAAAAAAACTGTTTAAATGTCTTATATGTAGGTTTTTGTAAGCTTTCTGATGATGGAAGTCATTTTTGTTGTAATTGAATACAAAATTTCACATTTTATTGCTGTAATACAATTTAATAGAGGATAATCACTGATCACCCATTTTCTCGGTGTTGGGCAAGTTTTTTGCTTGGGAACTTTTTGTGGTAATTAAGCATCTATGGTTCTATGCATTGAACCACAGAAAATCTATTTCCCAGGGGGGTGCCACGAAATTGCTTTTCTAGGCACTTTTTCACACAACAGCCCACGGCCTATAGCTGTTAAGTTATCCATACTAATGAATTTAGGTAATATTGTCTTGCAAGTGGGTTGTTCTGACAAAATTATCTAGCCAACATCCAGTACATTTATTCATCATTCTTGCATTAATTTCTAAAGAACACAATTATGTTAGAAAGCAAAATAACAATATAATGAGGAGGGAGAGTGGGGATTCTTTTATTAGCATTTGAAAATGTTTGTAAACATTTTGTTTAAAAACTCTAATCACTGTTAAACCAAAATGTATAAGTATTTTAACTGATAACATCGAACAGAGTTTACTACAGAAATACAAGACCAAGATTTAATTCAATATCTCCTGAGAACATTAGTTTCTTGTGACATTGTTCATTGTCATTGACAAATATATTGCCTGCTATGTTTTGACTGTTTAACTGAATATTACACAACAAAATGATTGTTTTACTGTATAAATACATAATAAGATAATAAATATGTCGTATTTGACTACTTACCAGATGAGGATAAGTTTCCATGTCGATAGTAACTTCGGAAAATAGCGCAAACAAGACAAAATCAAGATATTTTCGAAGCCCAAATGTGAAAATGGCAAAGAATAACACGAGGCCAAACGCCGCCCGTTCGCAGGTTAGATGCGGGCACGATGTAAACAATTGATGTAAACGAATCGCTGATTGGCTTAAATTGTCTTAAATTATATAAGCCCGTCGCTGAATGGCTACGTGCTAACATACGGTACGGTACGGTACGGCACGTTTGCGATAGCATATATATCTGCTTCGCAGATACAAAAAGGAGACCTTTAGAAATCAAGCATATTGTTAAAATTTGAATGCCTTTTCAATTGCACATACGCTGAACCGTAGTGCGTGAAATATCGATGGAGTGCATATATTAGAAAAAGGAGACGTTTGAAAATCAACCATTGTTATAATTTGAATCCTGGAGCACTTTGCTAAGCCCACGAGTGCGTAACATGCGATCTACGTACAGTATGCATGGCAGATTGTTCCCAGGTGCAGACGATCTTTTGTTTAAACGTTATTTCAATTTCTAAAGGTCTCCTTTTTCTAATATATGCACCCCATCAATATTTTGCGCACTACGGTTCGGCATATATGCTATTGAAAAGGCATTCAAATTTTAACAATATGCTTGATTTCTAAAGGTCTCCTTTTTTTTATACACCCTGTACAGGGTGTCCCCAAAAAAGTGACACTATAGAAATTATTCTATTGTTATAATTTGAATGCCCTAGCACTAAGTTGATCCCACAGGTGCATAAACTTCTGCTTCTGGAATTTAAAATAAAGAAGCAAACCGTTTATTAGTGTAACCGTTTTGCTTGACTCGGGCGTTAAAATATTTGGACAAAGCGAAAACGTTTTTTAATGCTTAAATGTAAATACAAGTTCATTAAATTCGCAGGCGTGCAATCACGCGCGTTTAAGAGCGGCTTAAGAACAATGAGATAATTTCTATAGTGTCACTTTTTTGGGGGGACACCCTGTATAATCAAGAAATGACTACATGCATGGTTGGTTCGTTTGTTATCCATTTGTAATCTACTCGTTGTGAAAGCTTATTGAACACACTCGTTCGCTACTCTCACAACTAGTACTCATAAATAAAAATCGTATGCACTAACAAATCATGAAGTAATCTATATTATAATATATCCTATCACTCAGTAGCCTACTTTTACGAGGAACCTATATGACGTAATGCGTAGTCCGATGGCACGAGCTTGGTATGTGTTCAAGCAAGCACGCTAATCCGGTGGTAATCCTTAAGCACAAGCGCTAGTGTGACCGCTACCTTAGATACTGTCTACAATTTTAATTGTTTAGGTCGTTGTGTTTCTCTCATCCGAAGTATTTCCTCTAATCTTCACTGCGCAAAATGCTTTCAGATGGTGAAATGAAGTAAGATTGAAATCTATATATTTTGCTTGAATGAAAAACGTGACAAGAATTTGGTTTTAACTACTGCTCGACAAAAGCGCTCATGGATTCAACCAGAACGACTCTCGAGGTGGCAAAGGAGCAGAAGCATTTGCCAACAATGCAATCAAATTATCAAGACATATCGTCGACATTTGGCTGGAGAAACTTTAGACCAGCACACCTAAAGTTTCTGACCAGTCCAAAATGGTTTATTGTGATTATAATGGTGTACACACTTTTTGCAGGTAAAAAATGTGAAGTTCAATATCAGTATATTGGGTCATATTGTCTTATTCTGGCGCGCTTAACGCATCTAATTAACTAGCGCGCTCAACGCAATTTTGTCTCAATCTCATTTCTTGTATTTATAATTATTCGAGCAGCCTCTTTGTGAAGTATTTGTGAAAATCGACTGTGTTTCGCCAGAAATATTCCATACTTTACAGCAATATTTAAAATACACGGTTGGACTATGTATGGCATTATACACGTAGACAGAGTCCAAGAATTCCTTAACACCTAATCCTGATGAGATTTTAAATGTTGATCATTAGTTACTCCCAGTGTTTTACATTGGTCTGTCTTCTGTGAGGACGTTAATTAAGTTGGCTGGAGACTTTAATTACTAATCTTGGTTTTACTCCATCAACATAAATTCAGATTTGTAACATTTACACTATGTTTGTTAGCTATCAACTATTTTTTGGGGTTCACCAAATCCGAATTCATTGCGCTGTTTCGATAATCAAAAGCTGTCAAGTGCGACATATGTGCGTCATCGGAAAAAATAATTGAGGTTTCATTTAGACAGATATTTATTCTTCCAGTATACAGTTACAATTTTGATAAAATATAAAGATACAACTAGGTTACCTAAAATGTAGTAAATGCTGCCTTTAAAAAGCACACGCCAAAAACGTTTTAAAATACTGTCTATAGCATAGTCTATAGTGAGTGCAAATCAAAGATGTGTTATCGCATACACGAAATATATAAATACAAAATTTGAAGCGTAGCCTAACGTCTAAAGGCCATGTTACACGGTAGAATTTTTCTTGCAACTTGCAATGCAATTCTACTCTTGAGAGATGTAAAATTGCCAAATACGAGTCTTCATTACATTCTGCTGATATTTTCTCAACATATCGAAAATTCTTCACTGATTTCACTAATTAACGTCTCTGAAGAGTAGAATTACATCGGCAAGTTGCAAGAAAAATCGCACCGTGTAACATGGCCTTAACGATCAGTCTGCTTTCGCAGACTACCTAAACTGCGAAACGTATTAAAATACTATCATTTATAATTATACAGCTAGTAGCTTTACCTGACAGTGTGCAATATTGCTTTTAAAAACAGCGTGAAAGTGAAGAATTGTAAATATTTAATATAAGTTAAATATTTGCAGCTTGTCGCAGTGAAGTTGCACTGGAACTGAAGGGTGTTTATACATTGGCGATTTCATGTCGCCATCACGTCAGCAGAAAAAATCGCACTTATAAAAATCGCAGCAAAAATTGCAAGTGTAAACAGGCATTGAAATATAGTTAAATATAGCATCATTAGACTTAATATGAAATCCGATAGTATTTGCCGTTTGTATTTGTACGCGTACTATAAAAGCAGCGCGTAATTCAACAGATTCTACTTGATATATTCTTGCTTATGCTTATTTTTAAAGAATAAAGATTAAAGGAATATTACTTCCATAAACATAAAACATTCACACGTAATTATTGGCCAAATCTCCGTGCCACCGATTCACACGCAAGTGTTCAATGAGACGCACGTGCATGTTTAATAACTGTCACCAGTGATTGCCCTTTAACCCCTGGTCTTGGCAACAAATGCATTACTTTCGGCTCAGTTGGCTCGCTGCGAGTAATAATTGTGCTTTATCAGTAATTTGTACTGTATAGTTCTATTTACTCTTAATTCCGCAGCAATCCATAGGCATGCGGTACCCTTGTTGAGTTACTAAACTTTGTTTGTCCACTCTGTATTCTCGAGAAAAAGAGAACACGTGCTCGAATGAAATTCGTTCATATAGCCGCGCGTTGCATGTTGGTAAAATGACTTTCAACCAACATGCTTTGCGGCTCTAGCAAGATTGAGATTTTGAGTAGCTGTACGATTTTAGTCTGCTGCCTTGCTCGCTCGCTTAATGCTCGCTCAGGCTCTAGCAAGATTGAGATCAGTTTTGAGTAGCTGTACGATTTTAGTCTGCTGCCTTGCTCGCTCGCTTAATGCTCGCTCGCTGCGGCAGCAATTAATGTGGAAGGAAAACTGACAAGCCCGTCAGGGCTTTTCTGGTAGTCCACCCTAAAAACTTAAAAAAACTAATATAACAAAGAAAATATAGTCTATAATGCCAGATTCTAGATATATGAGGTAAACTAATACAAATTGAGCTTATAAAGTTAATTAGTATTTACATTTTTTGTGAGGACCTAATAATCTTCTCAAGAAAGAAGATATAATTTTAGATTGCACTTAAATATGTATTTACTCTCGCTATTGTTAATGCATTCTGGCAACATATCCACAATACAGTGCATCTGTTTTTTTGTGGAATACAGTCCATAGTTTGTTTTATTGTAGTGTCTGTATGTAATTTCAAAGAGCCTCTGGTATTATGGCTATGAATAACATTGTTTATTACGCAAAGTGAATCAATTGTTTATTACGCAAAGTGAATCAAATTCAGTGACGTAGCCAGCCCGACGATTTGGTCCCGCTATGCAAATTTCGACTCATTATCATTATTCATTTCCAGTTTAGAAATTGATTGTTTTGATAGTTTATAAACATGGCGCGCAATATTTGCAAAACGGGACTGAATCGTCGGGCTGGCTACGCCACTGATCAAATTGAGGTGGTAGTGTATTTTTACTGCGTGAACAAATCAAGTTGAAAAGCATTTATCTTATGTTGATCTTTAGTATAGAGAAAATGGTTGAAGATGCCTCATGAGAACGTTTAAGGCAAAAATGATATTAGTTTCATAATCTTTTTCTGTATCGTTGATACTGACTTTAATCTTGTTGTAGCCCAGAGTATATTTCCGTAATATAAATATGGGTAAACAAGAGTTATAACATAGTGTTATGAGATGTTTTTTATTTAGGTAGTGACAAACCTTACAAAGAATCGGTTAGATACTTTCAATAAATTTTTAGTTACGTAATCAATATGACTTTCCACGTTAAGTGTTCATCGATTATAATACCAAGGAATTTAGTTTCTCTAGCATTTTGTATAGTTTTATCATTAATCTTAAAGGTTAGATTTGAGTTAAGTTTAATCTTTTTAATATTTAAGGTAAGCTGATTGTCCTTAACTTAAGCTGATTTTCCTTATACTTGCACAAGTGTAAATTCATAATTTAATTCTATTTCGAGTTGTTTCAGGTCTTTTCCTGAACGAAATAAATTGGTGTCATCTGCAAACAATATAAACGAAGGATTTCTTGAGCAATTAATATGTATATCATTAATATATAAGAGAAACGCAATGGGCCCAAAACTGTTCTTTGAGGAATTCCACATTTGATCGTTTTTTCATTCGAGTAAGTTTCATTATATTTAACTATCATTTTTCCGTTTGTCAAGTAGTTTGCAAACCAATTATTGCATATACTTCTAATTTCATAATGATTAAGTTTTGTAGCCTAGTAAGATTTTATGACTTACGGTGTCAAATGCTTTAGAAAGATCTAGGAAGACACCAATAGCATATTCCCCGTTTTCTATTGCAGTAGTTATTTTGTCAACTAGATCAATTATTGCGAGACTTGTTGAGTAGTTAACGCGAAACCCGTACTGTTTGTCATAGAGGTTATCATATTTATTGATGTAGGATGTTAATCGTTTAAACATTATTTTTTGTAGTATTTTTCCAAAACATGAGAAGACTGAGATAGGTTTATATTCGTAAATTTGGTTTAGTTACTAGTCTTACAAATGGGTGTAACTAACGATATTTTTAACTGACGAGGTATAATACCAGATGTGAAGGATAGATTGAAAACATGGCACAGTGGTAAAGAAAAAATATGTAAAACATGTTTAATAAGTTTGGAACTTATTCCATCGATTCCGCAGCTGCTTTTAGGTTTCATGGAGGCAATTATTTCTTCAATTTCTTTGTTTGAAGTGCTGTTTAGAAACATAGATTTTTGATAGTCACCTTTTAGGTTAAAAAACTTTCAATTTCTTACAGTGAAATTGTTAGAATTCTAATCGAACTTCTTAGCTAAATTAACAAAAAAAACTCCATTAACAAAAAAATCATTAAATCTATTCGCAATTGTGTTTGGGTTGTTTATTTCACAGTCACCTTGTAGAGTAAACCTAGAAGGTAGCTGTTTTCTCTTTTCTTTTTTACAAATTAATTTATTTAGCCTAGTATTTTCCGTGTACTTTTTAAATCAGCTTTGGCATCATTTAACCGTTTTTGAAAACGCCTTTTCTTATAAGATGGTTTAATTTATTTACGAATATTTTATAGCTACTTTGTTCTATTAAATTCTATTGGATTGCAAACTAAACCAACGAGATTAACAGAACATACAGAGACCTTAATGGACCATTTGCATTATAGACTAAATTTTGATCTAGACAAAAATTCCATCACAGCTTGAAAGAGCATCACAAAAGTGACAAAATTAGTAATATTCCAAAGTTTCGTTGCGAAATGTTGTAAAATGCTGATAATATAGCCTTGCGAAGTTTGCCATTTTTCAGTCATTTGTATTACGCACGGGAAATTAACAGTCCAATCAGGCGTTGAGGCATCAATATCTCGTTTGTAATACAGCTATATTATCCGCATTTTACAACATTTCGCAACGAAACTTTGGAATATTACTAATTTTGTGATGCTCTTTCAAGCTGTGATGAAATTTTTGTCTAGATCAAAATTTAGTCTATAATGCAAATGGTCCATTGACAATATATTTTGCAATCAAGTGGAATATTATTTAACAATTTATCAAATCACCTGCAGTATTCCTAATATGTCTAGATTATAATCAAAATCAGGTTGAAAGCGAGAAGCTAAGTAAAACTCGAACAATGCCTGATGCACCACGAGAATACTTTGTTAATTAATTAAATAATCAAACATGGTCATCTACGCTATAAAAACTTGACGTTTGAAAAATCTTATGAAGAGTTTCAAAAAACCTTTCGAGGAATTTTCAACAAAGATTTTCCAGTTAAAGTGGTAAAACTAAAATACAACATATGCCCTAAGAAACAATGGATAACTATAATGGTCCAGGACTAATAAAATCCACGAAAACGAAAACTAAACTATGCAGGAAATTTCTTGGTTGAAGAATCTGTTTGCAAAAGTACAGTTTTCATAGTTGAATAAATCGATGTTACAGCGCGAACAGGCAAACCGAAGCAACTTTTGCGTATTTTTAATGTTTTCAAACTAAGCCAAAACATTGCACCAGCGGGTTATTTAAACCATGGCTATGTCATAAGTTCATAACCGTAAAAAGTTTAGTCAAAATAATCCGCCGGTGATTGGTTTTGGCTTAGTTTGAAAACATCAAAATATGCAAAGCGGCCTTGGTTTGCCCGTTCGAGCTGTAAAATCCTCCATTAGATAGCAAGGTTTATTTTCTCTATCTACTGTACTTTCGATAAGAATATAGATTTCACGTGAAGATTTTCAAATTCATTATATATATTTGCTATTGGGTGGTCGATAAATAATTCCGACTATAACATTATAGGGCTATTAGTGTTTAGGATTTCAATAAATACAGGGCCTCTTTTAAGGATGTGTAACTGGGGGGGGGGGACATATTTCGCGGGGGACCTGGAGAAGTTCCAGTCGGCAAGTCTGTATCACTGCAGCTACCAGCATATATATGCATGGTAACTAATAAGTATACGTTATAGAGCAGCAGATCAGGCCCGTTACTAGGATTCTGAGACAACTGAGTCGAGCACCGAAGGTACGAGCCATCTAGAGGGGTCTGGGGGCATCCCCCCAGAAAATTTTGGACTTCCTGAATCTCAGATTAGCTATTTCCAGCATTTTGAGGAGTGTTCCAACAAGAAATTAACCTTATAAACAGTGACACAATTACTGTCATTTTACAGTCTCCCAAATGTAATTCAGTCCCAATAAGGCAACATGATGTGATGATGAGGTAATGAAAATGTGCGTGGTATAGTATTATCATTCACCACACTTCAAATTCTACAGTACAGTATTACATGTATTGGGGTACTTGACATCGACACATTTGTCTTGAACCTTCTCAGTGTCACTGAAGAGTAAGATAGGGTGGTCTCTTTGGAGTATCTTGGAGTATAATTTCCTCCTAAAATGCCATTTCATGCCTTTTTCCACGAGCAAATTATTTCAGCTATGGTTTAGGTTTCTGGCGATGTTTAAATTTCAGTCCCCAAATTTCGACCGAGTCAACTGATTCGATTGACTCCGCTGCATGGTGACGGGCCTGCAGATGATGGTCAAATTCGGAAATGTTAACAACTTAACATCATTTTCTCACTTTGATATATAATTGCTGGTTGACCACCTACTGCAGGTAGTTCTTAGGGACCTTGCACTGGGGGGGGGGATCTTGCCGACTGGAGGGGCCAGTAAGAGGGCTGTGGGGACATGTCCCCCCAGTCTATATGTTAAAAGAGGCCCTGAATAAATAAAAATTCTACATTGCATGTGGTCCCGGTTGTTATACCATTGATATCGTCGGGAATTTTAAATTCAATGTGATCTCTCATAAATGCGCAAATTCTGCCGCCAGATTTGTCAGCTTTCCTGTAAGAGTAAATACTGTTATATCCTGGTATGTCATAGTTTATGTCAATGTTGTCTTTAAGCCAAGTTTCAGTAAGCGCTATTAGTGAAAATTCTAATTTCATTATATTTAGAAAAGTTTGAAGAGAATCGACTTAATTTCTTAAGCTTCTTATGTTTAGATGCAGTAGTGATAAGTAGTTTGGAACTATGTTTTTACCTTCTACGTACTAAGTTGTTAAATGTATTGGTGTATATTGTAGACTCATCAAGGTTTTCAGTTTCAATATTATTTAAACTTTTAAAAGGATCAAATACTAAATTATTAGTTCTGTTCATATGAATCTCTAATGTCAAGTTTTCAATAGTTTGTAAAAATTCGAGACTATTTAGGTTATTAAACGGAAAACAGGATTCCAATTTATTTCCAAACATTGATGACATATACAAACGAATCATTATTTGATATCACACTTTTAGATCATCGATTAGAATCCTAGTGCATCCTGTTTTTTGTGTGAAACATGTTACCACATAGATAACATTTAATTGACTTATCAGTAATTAGCAAGCTGTACATGTAGCCAGGGCCTCCCAGAAAAATGAGAATATTTATATATATATATATATATATATATATATATATATTATTGGTGTAGACTAAGACATGATATCTGAAGATAATTTAATAAAACCTAAACCTATTTACGATAAAAGTTACTCGAGTTTCACGCACAAAGGCGATCATCAGACTAAAGTGCTTTTACGGTGGATTGTAGTTATAAGCGTAAAATTTCCTTTCGTGACAACACTTAGCTATTAATTCTGATCTTTTGTTCAGTAGTGATTGTTTATCTGCATTTAAAATGCAGATTTTCTCGGATAGGCACAAGTTGCATATCTTTCCTCCACTCCTATAAGCATTTGCACGCTTAAGGATTTTCCACTCGATTGCGTAAGCTGTGTCGGATTCCTTTAATTCCCAGATGAACTTCGAGAGCGTTGTACTTCCAGCGTGCTCAACATTGTTGAAGGATGATTTGTGGTTTCGGTACCGCGTTTTGAATTCGTTTTCTGTCATTCCTATGTATATTTTAGATGGCTGGTTCGATGGGGTCACTGTAGCTTGGTATACAATGCTCTTTGTCTTGCATGCATTGTTTAATGGGCAGTTATTCTCGTTTATATATATATATATATATGTATATATATATATATATATATATATATATAAATATATATATATATATATATATATATATATATATATATATATATATATATATATATATATATATATATATATATATATATATATATATATATATATATATATATATGTATATAAATCACATTGTGTGTATGGACAGTTTATTCTGTTTAACGCCTCCAACTTCCCTTTTCGCAGTCTTTGTACGAAAGAACGTTTTAATTTGGACTGTATAGACAGATTACTTTCATAGATGTTTAATATATCGACTCCAAATTACAAATATTTATACGGAATTATACTACACTTCCGCAGAAAAACATTGCTTTTTTGCGCAAAACAACGCTATATTCTACAGAACGAGCATTATTTTCTACGGAAGAAGCGTGACTCAAATGGGCGCCCGCCTATTTCCTTGACAAGATGTCAACGGATGTTAATTGCATGGAAACATTCTGTATATTTTAGGCATATCGATGAACGGTTTGCCTGTGTTAATCTTGCCAAGTATTGAAAAGAGATTCAGTTTATCCGGCAAAGAACTTGGGATTATTTCAGCAGCGAACGATGTCGCTGCTCTTATTCTCGTTGTTTTTATCAGTTTCTATGGTGACTATGGCAACAAGATAAAGTGGGTGGGTGGAGGAGCCTGTGTTTCAGGTAAGATATTGCCTTTTACATTTAAGAAATAAGAAATATCTTCCGTGTTTCTATACAGTTCGTATATGCATGTTAAGCTTCCAATTACTATAAAATTACATATTGCTGGCTCAACCTACAAATAAAAGTGTTATTAGCAAGCAGATTTTTTGTAGTTCATAGCCTAAAGACGGACAGTTAAACTGCCCGAAACATAGCAAACATAATAAAATATTGAAAACAGATCTAGATTTTCGAATTCCACATAATCCTACGGAGTCAAAAAGAACTAACATAATTTATACTATGAACGGAGGTGATAGTTTAAAAAGAAAATTAACTGTTATCTGTAGTTTGGGTGATTTCCATATTTAGCTGTATGCTATTGGCCAATCAGAAGACATGTATAATAATAGCGATTAAAGGCTAATTAAAATGAGAATATTTCGAGAGTAGTATCCTTAAACCTGAATTATGGACTTATAATTTCCAGTCCCAGGACAATTATTCATTAAGAACTATTAAAAACACGCGTAGTAGTGTTTATTTTATTTAACGTTGACACTGGCCTCGGTTGGTAAAATACAAAAATGTGGTTTGAGCTCAATTCCCTAAAAAGTTCTTCACAGCAGCACAGACCTTTTGAATGTTCCGTACCGGTAATGCATACCAACTTATGAATAATTTAACACCTCAGCGAAGAATATCTAATGCACACAGGTGAACCAAACAGAAACAAAATGATTATGAACATACGTCCGCTCGGGCGTTTGCTCGGGCGATAAATTTATTAAATTATTTAAATAAAAAAGTTGAGCGATGTTTAATTTAATTTATTTAAAAGTTGAATAATGTTGAATTAAATTAAATTTAATAGTTTTGTTTGTGGAAACACCACGTAAATTTATTACTGCATAATAAATTATTATTAATAATAATAATTATTATTATTATTAATTATTATTAATATATTAATTAAATTTAATTAAAAGACGCTACATTTGACTGAATATGCACAAGAATTCCTTCAAAATCCGCCATGTTTGGCTTTTGCATTACGTAATTGACTGAAGTCAGCTTTCCATGTAAACAGTCTAGTGGGTTGGACTGGATTTTATTACTTTAAGTCCTCGCAGTTAGGATTTCAAATCATACATAACGAATCATATTTGAGTTGATAAACTTACATCAACCGTAATTCATTCAATCCCAGGCTTTGGACTACTTTTGTTCTCGCTGCCTCATTTCATGGTTGGACCATACGATGTTCCAGACTTTCAACCTGGTAAAGGTGGAATTTGTGTATCGTCCAAGAACAATTCTTCATCAGGGTCTTGTGACAGCAATGATTCTGGAGCTATGTGGTACTATATGTTGCTATTTGTCATCGCGCAGGTTATCCATGGTGCTGGTATCTGTCCCCTGTATTCATTGGTACCTGCTTACTTGGATGAAAATGTTGAACCAAAGCAAATGCCTGTATATATTGGTCTGTTTTATCTTTCTGCTCTGTTGGGACCTGGAGTTGGGATATTGATAGGCGGGCAGTTTCTTAGTGTGTTTGTTGACATTGACCAGGTAAGAATTTAAAAACGTATAGGTTCAACGTACATAAAAATGAACATGAAGGATTTTCATGAAATTCGAAATAAAGAAGAATCTGAAAGTCAACTTTTACCGTTTGTGTTGGAACTACAATACAATGTAAATTGTTTTCCACTGACAAAGGATAACTGCATGAACATTTTTACCAATATTGAAAATTTGAATCTTAAGTTGAAAGTCCTATCAATGTTGTTTTTATTGGAATAAAGGGAGAATCTTATGTATGTCTGTTGGATTAATTTAACGAAATGTTTGGTTCCCGGCCGTTGCGTCCTTCCTCGTTATATTTCAAATGATCATGATTGAAAAACTTGTTATTTCATTTTTTAACTCCAGCCAAGTGGATTGAACCTTACCCCCAAAGATTCTCGTTGGATAGGAGCTTGGTGGTTGGGATTTCTTGTCTTTGGTTTGTTATTTTTCCTTCTGGCGATCATTATATCAGGATTTCCCAGTTCGTTACCTGGAGCCAAGGAACGTCGTGAAAAACACATCCGTGAGGGGAACCTAAACAAAAAAAGCGACAGCAACGAAGCAAGGCTTAAAGAAATCTTTCCTGGACTGAAATCTCTTCTTATGAATTGGACATTGTTGTTTAATACCATTGGACTTTCTGTTGAAGTAATTTTTATATATTCGTTTGTTCCATTTTTGGGAAAGATAGTCCAGTTAAAGTTTGGTTTGGATCCAGTAAGCAATGGATACGTATTGTCAGCCGTTATGGCACCTACAATGATGGGTATGTAACCGTTTATTTCCGCCATGTCACTTTCACTGTAACTTGGGGTTAAATATGTAATTTTTCTTCAAAAATAACAGCTGCATTATGGTTTTCTTTTGTATATGATTTTCAAGTATCGTTGATACTCGCAGTATATTTTCTTTTATATCTCTTGAAAAATGAACGAAATTTTGGCCATAAACGTTTCCCAAACGATAAGCCAACTCTAGGAAGGTAATTTTCCTTAATTCTTGGCCAGATTATATGGGTTTATGGGAATTTAGACGAATTAAGCAAATTTAAGGCAAATCAAGGCAATTGTTGGACTGCTCGGACGATTTTATGGTGAGTTAAGCAATCACCCATTTAATTGCATCAGCGTATATACTTGCCCAGTTCTAATCCAAATTCGACCGAATTTCACGTGCTTGCCTTTGAGCTACGTCCAACATTGTTCCACGTTCTTTAGGTCTTGTGGAGGAAAGCCCTGGTAGTGGTCACGTGATCAGATTTTTAATAAATGATGATAATGTTTAATTTAGTGTGGTTATGTTACCAGGAAGTTTCATTGTAGTGGTAGTATGTTGCACTGGTAAAAATCTTTATTTACAATTTATAAAATTTAAGACATAAATCAAGCTTTCGGACAAAGCGTCCATGAAATGGCATAAATGATTAGTCGCTTAAATACTATTTAAATATTAATGACCTAACTAAAATATTAGGTTTTTGAATAATTAGACTAGAAGACAAAAGAGTCATAATAGAGTCATATTAGCGTATTATAGAGTCACAAAGCATTATTTAGTCTTTATCAATAAGCGTTCTACAAACTTCCGGCAATGTTCTGCCATTGTTTCATTTGGCAATGGCACTCTTCTCATTTTCTATTATCCAGGCTTCCTTTCATTTTCTATGCGACAACCGACTTCCCTTACATACTATCTTAGTATCATCCCATATAATGCGATGATCATTGTCAACTACATGTTCTGCCAAAGCTGAGTTTTCCACCTTCCCATTCTTACACTTGCATGATGTTCTTTTAATCTTGTTCCTAATGCACGACCCGTTTCACCAATATATTTAACATCACAATCCTGGCACGGGATGGAGTAAACGACGCCTGTTTGAAGTGAGGTAACTTATCTTTAGGCTTCACTAAATAATTTCCAAGCGTTGAAACCGGTCTTATTGCAACATTAATATTATGTCTCTCTAACACTCTCTTTATTTTCTCTGTAGTTCCTTGAACAAAAGGAAGTACTACCATACCTCTCGCCATTTCCGTTTCTACTGCCTCATTATTATCCACACCAGCTTCTTTCTGTTTCATCTTTCTCCTGATCTTCAATAAAAAATCTTTGGGATAACCATTATTCTGTAAAGATTCAAAAACATGTTTCTCCTCTTTTCTTCGACTCGTTTCATCTGAACTGACTTTGTCTGCTCTGTAGCACAACGACTTTAATTGGCAACGGACGTTTTATGTTGGAGAGGATGATGTGACGAGAAGTTCAGATATCGGTCCGAATGTGTTGCCTTTCTATAAACCGACGTCTTAATAGACCCATCTTGACTCAACAAGTTTTAACGTATCCAGAAATGGTATACCCCTTTCCTTATAATGTTCGATGGTAAACTGTATATGAGGATTTTGTGAGTTTAAATGTTTATGGAAATCATTAATACTAGACTTCTTTACCGCCGAAAGTGTATCATCAACAAACATATAATACAACCTTCGACGTTGTGGGAAGGTATCTAATGCTTTAGTCTCCAGGTGTTCTATTACTAGATTTGCCACCACGACTGACACTGGCGAGCCCATCGCAATTCCGTGAATTTGTTTTTAAAAATTCTCCCGGAATTGAAACTCCGTCGAATTCAAACAAAAAGCCAATAGTTCAATAATATCTTGAGGCATAAGCGATGTCCTTTCCCTTAGAGTAGGGTCGTTCTCCAATCTATTCAAAGCAACATCTAACGCAATGTCGGTAGGAATCGAGGTAAATAGAGATATAACATAAATGAAATAAGCTCCTCGTCATTGTTCAATTTCCATTGTTTAGCTTTATTTACCCACTCGTACGTATTGCGGATATGATATTCGTTCTTACCAACCTAGGGTGAAATAATCAGCGATAAATACTTAGATAATTGGTATGTCGTGGATCCGGAAAAACTGACCGATCGGTCTCAAAGGGTTATTATTCTTATGGATCTTAGGCAGGCCGTATATCCTCGGTGTTGGGCCGTCAGTTGTCTTCAACTTCTTAAGTAAATTCTCATCCATTCTCTCCGCTTTTGATGAGAGAAGCTTTTTCATCTCTTTTTCACATACATTCCTTGGGTCTTTCTTGAGCTTCTTGAGCCAGGATTGTGATGTTAAATATATTGGCGAAACGGATCGTGCATTAGGAACAAGAGTAAAAGAACATCATGCAAGTGTAAAGAATGGGAAGCTGGAAAACTCAGCTTTGGCAGACCATGTAGTTGACAATGATCATCGCATTATGTGGGATGATACTAAGGTAGTATGTAAGGAAAGTCGGTGGTCGCATAGAAAATGGAAGGAAGCCTGGATTATGGAAAATGAGAAGAGTGCCATTGCCAATAGGGACAATGGCAGAACATTGCCGGAAGTTTGTAGAACGCTTATTGATAAAGACTAAATAATGCTTTGTGACGCTATAATACGCTATTATGACTCTTTTGTCCAGTGTCTTATTATGGCTCTTTTGTTGACTCTATAATACGCTAATATGACTCTATTATGACTCTTTTGTCTTCTAGCCTAATTATTCAAAAACCTAATATTTTAGTTAGGTCATTAACATGTAAATAGTATTTAAGCGACTAATCATTTATGTCATTTTAATCCTGACGATGGACGCTTAGTCCGAAAGCTTGATTTATATTTTAAGTTTTTTAAACTGTAAATAAAGATATTTACCAGTGCAACATACTACCACTACGATGATAATGTTGATAAATATTTATATTTATACTTTAATTTATAACTTGATTTGATTTTAAACAAATTGAAAATAGTTAATTAAAAATCTGTTTGATTTTAGCACATCATTTAACCGGCTCCAACCAGGCTCTTTTCTCAACAAGAGGTGAGAGCCTGGGAACGAGGTTGAACTACGCCCTGTAGCTTCAAAACCTTTGATATTTTACCGTTTGAAAAACACGTACACAAACGAATAAACCGAGATGAAAACATAACTTTCTGCCAAAAGTAATACTAACTGTAATCCCACCAAGCCGTGCTGTAACGAGTCACCAACACGTCAAGTCAAGTCACGAGTCGAGTCACCCAAAGGTCGAATCACGAGTCGAGTCATTTTACCATTTGGTCGAGTCAATGGCTTTCTCTAAAGTGGAAATATCATTATCTACACTAAGAATTACTTTTTATTTTTTCTTTCAAGTCTTTGAGGACTCTTGTCAACTTATCCAGCTATAATATTTTTGATAAATTTAATCTGAACAAGTTGTAGTTCATTTGAATCCAGTTATTTCCGACAGAAATCAACAAGTCGAGTGCAAGTCAAGTCATTTTTGCGTATTCGACTCGAGTCATTTTTTGTATTCGACTCGAGCCCAAGTCAATGACTCGACTCGGTACAACACGGCCACCAAATATCTGTGGTATCATCAAAATATGTTTCGAGCACAGGGCGTAACAACCGGATGTCCAGAGACGGGGGCCCCCACGCCTGAGGTGCCTCGGCAAAAGTGACCAAAACATTTTTGCTAGTACAGTCAGGGCAAATTTTTCCAAGCCTCAGTTATACAGGGCCAGAAATTTGAAACGTGTGGCTACCCAGCATGAGCTCCACCTCTGAATTTACCATATGAGTAAATTCTTAAACTCATCCGAACATATCATTATGATAAATTTCCGAATTTATCATTATGATAAATTCGCGGCACATTTTGAATTTATTATAATGATAAATTCGCGGCCCCTAACCCCTAACACTAATCCTAACCCCAACCCTAACCTTTAACCTCTAACCACTAACCCCTACCCACTAACCCCTAACCCCTAACCCTAATCTAACTTTTTAAACTTTTTTAAAAATCTAACTTTTTAAACTTTTTTTTCTTTTTTAAACTTTTTTAAAACTTTTTAAAAACTTTTAATTTTAAACTTATTTTTTGAAAATCTTCCCAAAAGGTCTCACTAATGCAAATACTTTTATGATTAAACTCTATTGATAAATTCAAAATATGCCGCAAATTTATCATATTGATAAATTCGGACATGTTCAAGAATTTACTCATATAGTAAATTCAAAGGTTGGGCTCATGTTGGGCCCTCAAAAGCAGGAATTAGTGAAATTTGGACCCCTTTTTAGTAGATATGGATGTGGAAAAATTTTGTGACTATCTTTTTAATTGTTATAGTGGCCAATTTAAAATTTGACGGGGGCCTCCGAAGGTTGCGTTACGCCACTGTTCTAGCACGCCCAAATATATCTCTTTGATGTGGACTTCAATCCCAACCCTGATCTGATTGATCATAACCATCTGGTGTGCCGAAGATGAGGACGTTACTCAAAGGCCCCGTTTACATGAGACCGGTACGAAGTCAAACAGGAATGAGAATTGAAATTGTCAACTTGTTTAAATGACACTGGTACGAAAATCACAAAATTTTTAATTTATTTCTCTTGCCAGGCAATTTTATTTTTTAGATTGCTTTTGTCAGCATGTTTTGTTCCAATGTCAAGGTTACAGCGGAGACCGGTCTGGAATGTATTTGTGTTTACATTCATCCCGGTCTGTATTCATGCTCGTGTCGCAGGAAATTTGGCCCCCCTTCGAAAATTTGGCTCCCTCCAAAACATAGTTTACTTTATCGCTATAAGCTCGGAAATCGTGAAACTTCTTCTAAAACCAAGATCCTAAAAGTGTTTGTCAGTATTTATAGTTAGTTTGTATAATTTATTTGTGTCGAAATTCTTCATTGCGGCCAAGAGCAAAAAATTTGAAGCATAGAATAAAGATCCATATAGAAGGGCCAGTTACGTCGGAAGCTTTGAAGTCTCTGTCCTCACGCATGTCGCATTACGCATGTTGGCCGCCATTTTCCTAGCCAGTCAATGACATTTTCTGGCCAATAAACTCGCTGTACTGGCTGGCTGCTCCGCCTTCTGGCCAGTACACTACATATTTTTGCATAAAAAAACGCGGACACGTTGCACCGCTGAGTGGCCCTTCTGTTACTGATCTTTATTCTGTGGTTTGAAGGGAAGCGTAATAATAATAATGTGCTAGTGCAGTCATACCAGACATATCACACATGCATGGGTATCTGTATCATAATGGCTTAACTTTAAGCTAATTATAAGGACATGAAACGATTTTTAGAAATGGGAATTTCTAAGATATTACAAGTTATAATTGTTTTTGTTTGTGGAAACACCACGTAAATTTATTACTGCAAAGCTTTCGATCCGTAAGCCCGGATCTTCATCAGTGCTAATAATATGACTTATTTTTCACCCTGCTCGGTTTCCTTTGTTCTTGTCGGGGGAATATATTCAATATTCCCTCTAATCAATTTCCGTTTAATAATCCCCTCTAATATTCACCTGCAATGTCTTTGCCGCACAAAAAATAAGAAAAAAACAACATAACAAAGGCAATATGACATTAAGAATTATTTCTATTCTTACTCATTAATGCGACCTCGCAGTGTGAAAAATAAGTACGTTATTTTGAGGCACCTCGGGGATATGTGTTTATTCACCTCGGCGCTGGGCGCCTCGGTGAATAAATCACATATCCCCTCGTTGCCTCAAAATAACCTATACATATTATTAGCACTAATGAAGATCCGGGCTTACGGATCGAAAGCTTTGCAGTAATAAATTTACGTGGTGTTTCCACAAACAAAAACAATTATATTTTATCGCCATGCAAACATTCAAAGAACTTATATTACAAGTTATTTAGATCTATAAATTCAGCCACATAGTATAAAATTTGCCAGAATAACAACCACACTTTAGCAAACGTGACATCATGCGTTGGCAAATAAGTGCACGCGTCTAATAAATAACAGGAGGGATTAGCATTAGGGTAAAAGTAGACTTTTAAGTTTAAATTAGTGGTTATATCGTAAAAAAAACTTTTCCTATGCATTTTATTTACATACACACAGTATATGTAATCATTCATGCGGTTGGGATGATTACAGAAACATTCCGTAAAAACAAAAGTAGACTGCATGCTTCTGTCATGGCTCACAAAAACATTCCGCGCACACAAAAGCACTAAGGTTTGTTCAAACCTTTGTGCTTTTGTGTGAGCGGAATGTTTTTGTGAGCCATGACGGAAGCATGCAATCTACTTTTATTTTTACAGAGTGCTTCTGTGCTGACTGACTGTACTTATTAGATTCTAATGTACTTATGGACGACTGTCTGTACCTATTAGATTCACTCAATGACTAACAAAACATTCCGTATATAAAAATACGCAAACTGACTACAAATGCTGAGAAACATTTCTAGAAATTTGGTTTTAGTAGAAGCTTTATGATTTCCCAGCCTAAAAATAAAGTAAACTATAATTTTTTAGGGGGGGGGGCAAGAAATTTCCGAAGGGGGGATGTTTTCTAGGAGATATGGCCCGAGGGGGGCAAATATCCTGTGAGACCGGTCTGAAATCAGTCGGTTCGGTCCAGCAGGCATAATAACTTGAGACATTTTTGAGTTATTTTTGTCCCGGTCTCTTGTAAACATCTATTATAAATAATACTATGACCCAAACGAAATGGTCCCGGTTTGACTTCGTTCCGGTATCATGTAAACGGGGCCAAAGTCTTCTATTCTATTAATTATCTCTTTCCAAATACGAGAATTTCTACTCATTGTATAGCGGGGGTTATTCTTGGCGCTCTTGTTGTGCGTCAGTTTCCAATCAAAAGTGTTTGTAAGAGATCAGCTTTCTACGTTGTCGTGAGCCAGTCGTTCGCGATGATCGTGCCGTTTCTGATATTGTTACCTGGATGTCTGAATGTTAACATGGCTGGAGTTTCCACTTCCTATACAGATAGGTAAGGAATTATTTCAGCGCTAAAACTAATATTTACAGTATATAATCCAATAATTGTATTTCCGGCGTAAAAGTTGATCAAATCATGATTAGATCCAATATTATTTGATATAAACAGTTGTAAATTTTAAAATGACCCAGGGCGTGGGAGACTTCAACAACAACAACCCCCTCCTCCCTTAACACTCATTAAAATAAATTTCCTATCGTTTCTTAACTAGTTCAGTTTAGATATTCAGAAATAAAATTATTGGGCAAAATCAATCCATTTTCTACCTTCCACATTTAAAAAAGACAAATTCCTTGCTGACGAGCTTATCTCATTATTTATTGTCTTTATTGCATTTGACGCAATCAAAATTCGACGTATAAAACAAGCCTAAAAGAAAGATTGGATGTGCAGAGAATATGCCATTTTGTTCGCTTTGCATTTCAGACAGTAAATATATATAGGACACCATTAGGTTCTCCCACTGTGATCTTGAGGGAGGTTTGCTACTCTTATATGTAATGTTTACTCACGGAGCACAGCGACGGTGTAAGACACTGTTAGGAATTAATCTTACCCACCTTGTGAAGATTCCCTTGATGGAGGTAACGGAATACCAGGAAAAGATCCACGGTTTTCCGTAGGGCGTTGACTGACTCTTTTCACATATAAATGTTACAAGTCCACAACGAGAATCGAACACACATTCAAAACCACAATCTCAGACGTGGAAAAACGCTTGCTCTGGTAATTTCGCCACCGAAGTTCTCTGTAGTGTAGTGCGGCTTACCTGATCATTTTTCCTATTGAAAGCATAAGGTGTAGGGAAGAAAAAAACTTAGGAGGGTGGCCAAACATTAGCTCGACGCTCGGGAAATTTCCCGATCCCCCAAATGTTTCCTTAGAGGGGGCGGTGGAGAAAAATTGTCGAAACGAACATTAACACATTCTGAAACATGGCATATTTCTTTCTGCTTCCACCAATTTTATGTGCGCCGCTTTTCCCGGCCTTTTAATCATCTTTAAGTGCATATGTCGAAAGGCTATAAGTCCCCCTTGACCTCCTTTGTCCACTACCTATGTGTATTAAAACACTCTGCATGCATATTAAAACTGCCTCTAAGCAAAGGTACACTTCCCCCATTTTGCGGAATTGGAAGGAAAATTAAGTCTGTGTTGTGTAAACGAAACTTATTGGGGATAGTTGAGCATGGGGGCGGGGTCCTTTCCCTCTCTTAGTGTGTGAAAAGAGGCCCTGATTTAGTGTGAACTTGCATTTAAAGAATTATTTTTCCCACTAAACATTTCAATAATGGGCTTTGCTGCCCAAATACGATATTATGTAGCTCAAGCATAAGAAAAAAAACATTTTAAACTTATTTTCTAAAGGCAAAAACAAGGCAAAGTGAAACAAAACAAAAAGTGCGCAAAAATAATCATAATTGAAACTACTGTTAACTTTTTGCTAGAATAAACTCCACTCATGAGCAAGTCATGGCAACATACTCTACGGATGTACTTATTTCTCAATGTAACGTCAACTGTAGCTGTAGCATAGATCACTTTACACCTGTGTGCGGGTCGGATAGTATTGTCTATCCAAATCCCTGTTATGCAGGTTGCACCGCAACATATGATAACAAGGTCAGTAAGTAATCTTTGCGTATTTTGAATAAAATTTATAACTTATAATATCAGGATTTTGCACATCTCATTCAATATGACTGAATATATGTAGATGCAATTTTTGTAGATGAAATTTTTGAACAAAAATTTTATACAAATTTAGTCAGACACTATATATATAGAAGACTTGTGGTTAATTCTCGAAAATTCTACTCCATATTGTAGTCATTAGAGCGCTGCATCGGAATCGCAGAGCCGCAGGTTTGATTCTGGACGGGCCTAAAGTTACATTCTTACATTTTAATTTAAATTATTATTAAAATTCAAGGATTAAACAAATGCTTTTATTAAAGAGTGAGTATCATGCCAGTGATCCTTTGGGCGCTTGGCGTCACAGAAAATGGCTGACTCTTGAAATATTAATAAGTGATCTCCAAGATTTAATAGGTATTGGCCCATATTTATCGGAATCGTATTGAAAAACAAATCTATTCTTCTGTTAAACGAAGTAGGTCATTATATCTTGTGAAATGTTGCGTTTTTTATGCAAAACGATTGTAATGAAAGTATATTCATCAAACACAGCCGAATATAAACATAAAATGTAAACACAAGCGTGCAAAGGATCATTGGCATGATACTCACTCTTTAATGTTGTTCATGTTGTTTTTACAATACTACATTGTATACGAATAATTGCGCGATGTTTTTATAACCGTCAATGCACACGCGAGTATATGCCAAATGTTTTCTTTTTCGCTCTTGTCTTATTATACCTTTTGTCTGGCTTTGAATAGAGTTTCGGGAGTTGTTCCTGTATCGTGACGGATACAAGTAAATCTGGTACAGCAAGACAAGGATACTGTGACCGTGATTGTAAGAATCTGGCTATCTTTTTTGTCTTCATTGGTATCTGCTTGTGCGTGTTCTTTTCATGCATCGTTCCATTAACGACTGTTGTTCTAAGGTACAATGAATAATAATCGAATTTATTATAATTATAAAGCTCATTAATCCCCGAGCCGACGGCGCGAAGCGCCGTGCAAGGGTACTAATTCCCCCCGGGTATTTAAAACCCGGGGAAACGAAAGCATTAGCGAAGGCTAAAGTTCATCAATTATCGCGGGCGTGGTGACCAACGATGGGTGGTCATCCTCACTGATCTCAAAATTATGGCTGACTGTCATGAATAGCGGACACTGATTGGTCCAATTTAAAGTTTGCATTATAACGACTGCACGACGACAGCGAAATAGCAAACATTTCTTGATTTGATGATTGATAAATTTCTTGCAAATATATTTCATTTTTGCTCGCATTTTTGAAAGATTTTATACATTTCAAGAAAGAAAGGGCGAAAGAATCGGCTAAAAGAAGGGAGCCGACGTTAACGAAGGTAAGTTCGTTTTAAATATTGATTTTATAATGGCTTTAAAACCCGACGGCCTTTGGCTTTGCGTATATGAAACAACTAAACAAGACAGAGTATAATTTCAGTGTATCTTTAATATTGATTCTCTTTTTTATTATATTGAATATTTTAGATAAAAAAGAAAGCAAAGTTATTTGCATCCAACAATTTGAAATCATTTTATTGCAAACTCAAAGTTTATCGATAAAGCCATTTAATTAAAGGCAGTTTAGTTTTATAAAGAACACTTTAAAACGTTTTGCGAAGCGTTTGTGGTTGAATTTTACCTTAAAATTGAAGCTTATATTACGTATAACAACATTCCTAACATATATATGTTGTAATTTGTAATTAAAAGTGATATTTTTGGCGATTTTTCATTTGTAAGAATATTCTTAAAAAATTATCGTGTTACCATGACAACTACGTTAGATACTTCATGTTCGGAAAATACAATGGTTTTGTCAGCAAGGCGAGGGTTTTTGCTTGTATGTATTTTCTAGTAATTCACGAAGAAATTCAAAAGAAATTAGTGTGAAAATGGCGTGGCGCATGAGATGTTACTTCCGATTCAATCTAGGACGGCAGTCGTGTCGATTCTAGGACGGCATTCAGGGTGTTTTCACGTCCTCTCTAAAACGTCACAAATTTATGCTTGATCGTGTTTTGAAAAATATATGAGAATATGCACCACAAAAACCATCCTATTTTGTTCCCCATATATTCTTCGATATTTGTAGCTGAATATTGCTTTGATTGATAAGGTTGTGTTCTTACTTTTCGCTGAGTTTTGGACGCGTTGATTTTTGGCAACTACTTTCATCGCCATAACAAAACAACAGGGCTGCAAGCATTGTTGACCACTTCCGATACTGTTTCTATTTCTGGCCAAATGACACATTTTAAAGCACAAAAACGGGACTACAACAACAAGACTTTTAAATGATAAAGAATGTATAGGACTATAGAATAATTAAAACACTTAAACAAGAAAGAACGGGATCAATTTTAGTTGCCTTGTCACAAGAGTATGAAAATACACGACAAATAAAAAACACTTTTAGGCGTGAAAAACAGTCGTAAATAACATTGAATTTCACCAATGTAAACTCTGATTTGTCTATTAATACCGAACAACTTAGAAAGTCGATTAAATCAAATGGAAATCAAAGAATTTAACTCGTCAACAATACCTGCAGCTTTTGCGTTTTCGTCCGTATGATGCGAAAAAATTCACTTGTTCAAAAACAACAAAATATAGCAGTTTTTTCAAAAAAAACCTTGTTGAATGTTAATAGAAAATGTTCAGCAAATACTAGGTTAGTATAATAGAACATTTTTTTGCACATACCTGGACAAATAATTGGAAACGATAAAGAGATATGCAAGCGGCGAAAAAAACAAGAAGTTTGCTTTGAAAGAGATAAACACGAAGTCCTAGATTCAAACTGGAAGTAAACGCAAGGGGTATGACGTCATTTTCACGTCCTGATTGACGTCGCGTCGTCTTTGCTAAAACTCTCTATTACGTGAAGTGGCTTTATAGCTACACCAAATTTTATGAAATTTATATCACTGCACATTCCATGAGCAACAGTCCGGAATCCCAAGGTTACTGATACCCCCACAGTGGCGTAACGCTCATTGGGTAGGGTTAGTTAAAAAACTAAGTCCCCCGACAGTTAGGAGCCCCCATCAGCCGCGGCCTATCACCCAGAAAATTAGAAAACGTAAAAAATGCAGGTTAAGAATCAATGACAATGGGAAAATGCAAAATTAATAATGCTAAATAATAAAGCCTCCATCGACAACGGTAGCTGATTTTTTCATTCCACCTCAACTGGAATTCTTATTAGTTGTTAAATGTGTTTGGGACTATTATTGTTATTGACACGGAATTTTCCAAAACTTTCTATCAATATTCATGATCAGTATAAATATAATATCTCAGTCAAACAGTGACAACAGTCAACAGGGGCGCCCACACCAAATATGCCACTGTACCCCAAGGAAAATTTTACGCACGATGCCCTTTAGGTTGACTGAAATTAATATCATACCTGCCAGACAAAGCAATCCATCGCAGTACTTTTACCATTTTTTAATTAACAAATAGAAAACATTTTCCGTGTTGATATGCAATTATATCGACATGAGTGGAATTGGGAAAACGAGAAATTGTATGGAAACACGACGCCCGAAAGGCGGAGTGTTTTCGTGCAATTTCGAGTTTTCCCAACTTCCACGAGTGTTGATATAACTATATATCAATACGGAAAAAATGTTTTATACTTTTTTTATAATATAGCAATGTCAAAAACCCGGAGGATAAGAAAAATTTCCGTATTTACAGGCGGCGGAAAATTCCCCGTGTTGACATTGAGTTATATCAACATAGCTCTTAGCCAATCAGCGTTCAGAATCTACAAATGCAATATTATAATGAATTATAGAAAACAGTGGATTTCATCGCTTTTATTGCGCACATTAATTGTTTAATAAAACACTCCAATATTTTAATTTACATTTAATTCACAATTGACAATTTCTCACGGCAAATGTTATTGCTGCACGTTCTATCTGTTTATCACAGCACAGTTTTACTTTATCACTGCAAAGATTCGTTATCACTGCACACTAAAATTAGATATGTTTGTTGATAAAACACGTCTTCTTTAAATAATACAACTACCGTAATCTTTCTCGCCTATGCTTCGTAGTTATCAGCTGCATAACTGTATATCATATAATGCTGCAGATTTTTCCGGCTCAACAGTGTACTAATATTGTTAAGAAAGTCGTATATCATCCATAGTATTGGCCTATCTATAAATCTCGAAAGACTGGTATTGCTTTTTTCCTACCGCCAAGAAGTTATGTTTCACCTATTTGCTTCGCTTACCTGCCTGTCTGTCTGTCTGTCTGTCTGTCTGTCTGTCTGTCTGTCTGTCTGTCTGTCTGTCTGTCTGTCTGTTTTTGTTTTTTTTGTTTGTTTGTTTGTTTGTTTTTTTTGTTTTTTTTGTTTGTTTGTTTGTTTGTTTTTTTTGTTTTTTGTTTGTTTGTTTGTTTGTTTGTTTGTTTGTTTGTTTGTTT